CACCCCCCCCCCCCAGTGGGGATGACCATGTCACAATTCAATCTCCATTCTCCTGGAATCTTGGGCATGCCCACACACATGCCACTGAGTCTGAGACTCCAACCATGGGGAGTCCAGCAATGTAACCACTACGCCATCTGCTGGCCCTGGGATCCAGCTTTCTTAACCACATGTCACCCACTGGCCCACTTTATATTTTTGTGTCTGTATTTGAAGTGCTTACTGAAAGAGCTCTGGTTGTCCAAGAAGTCCTAAGGGATAACAGAAATAAATTCTTGTTTAATTTTATTTATTTTTGTTTTTGCTGCAGGGCATGTGAGCTCACCAGTGAGAAAAAGAGAGGGAAACTGAGAAATCACCCCCTAGAAGGGATGACTACACCGTAATCCCGTCACCAGTTTCTTCTTGGGCCCTTGGACATGCATGCAAACATACATGTCCAGCTTGCTTCTCAAGCCACTTGGTCTGGGACTAACCACACAGTCAGCCACGTGGGATGCAGCCACCTCCATGCCACCTGTGTGCATGCCCCAAATCCTGAAAGCACAGTGGAGGAGAAGGCATTGTGGTGTGGTCATCCCCTTGGAGGGTGTTTTTTTGCTTTCTCGCTCTCTGTCTTTCCAGTGAGTTCATGATCCAGAAAGCAAGAAATCACCCCCTGGGGGGATGGCCACCTGCAATCTCTGCTCCTCCATTCTCTTCTCGGGATCTTGGGTACGCATGCACACGTGCCCGGCATGAGTTTATGCCACTGGGTCTGGGACTTGAACTGCAGTCAACTACATGGGAGTCTACCGACACAGCCATTACGCCAACTGCTGGTCCCAAATCCTTTTTCTTTTAGAAGGCTGTGTAACTCTTGTCAAGTACAATTATGACTTGGATTTCTTTTGCAGTTTATAGGTAAATAATTAATTTGATGGCTATTCTGGTTCCTTATTTGTTAACCTTTTAAAAATTTTTGCTTTTTAAAAATTAGGGCCAGTGGGGCCAGCAGGTGGCTTAGTAGTTGAGGGTGCTGGACTCCCACATGGCTGATTGCAGATCAAGTTCTGTACCTGGTGGCTTGTTTTCTCACCACCCCCCTCTCGTTCTGACCCTCTCTGGTCAAATTAAAATAAATAAAACAGTTCTTTCAAAAATAAGCAAACAAACAAACCCCAGCTCTGGAAGCTTGAAAAACTTGTCAGGTGCTTGTGCATGCATGCTCAAAATCCTGAAGGGATTGCAGCGTGACCACACCCCAGTGGGCGTGCCTTTTTCTCCTCTCTCTAGCCTGTGCATGTGCCCTCTGGCAGTTAAAACATTGATCTGCCCCCATGGCCTGGTGGTTAAGGAAGCAGGATGCCACCAGGCTGGTCGTAGGTTAGAATCCTGACTTGATGGCTTGAAAAACAATCTGAGTTCTTGTGTGTGCCCTGAATTCCCACAGGATGAAGAAGTGGAGCGGGATTGCAGTGTGAGCACATCCCATTGTGTGGTCCTTTCTCTGTCTCTCGGGCGAGTGTACATCCCCTCTGGCCCTAAATAAAAATAAATAAATAATAAATTGCAAAAGCGGTACCAGTTAAAAAATATGTAAACATGATTTTCTTTTTCCTTTTAGATGGAAATCATATGATGTGGAATATTTGAGTGACATCTACCTGAAAGATCTTGAAGAATTACAGGTATTTTTAATTTAATGATTCCTTTTTTTTGTTTTAAAAAATTATTTAACTTTACTTATTTATTTTCATTTGACCAGAGAGGGACAGAGTGTGAGAGAGAGAGAGAGAGAAAGTGAGAAAGTGAGAAAGCAACCCGTCAGGGCCAGGGCTCCAACTGCGGTCGGCCATATGGGAGACCAGCGCCCTCAACCACCGCGCCGCCTGCTGGCCCCAACAATTCCTATTTCTCCTGAAGATTAACGGTTAAGTGAGGTTGTGTTTAAGTAGTTCTGCTATTCAAAACAGTTTTTTTTTTGAGAGTTTTAGGGTGCATGGGCTCGCAGAAAAGACAAAGAGACAGACAGAAAACCAGAAGTCACTCCCTAGGGGAGATGCCCATGCCACAGTCCCTTTTCTTTCATTCTCCTCTCAGGATTCTGGGCACGCACGCACACATGCCTGGTGTGAGTTTTAAGCTGCTGGATCTGAGACTTGAACCATGGTCCACTACGTGGGAGACGAGCCCTTTAACTGCTATGCCACCTGCTGACCCCTAAAACAATGTTTTTGATTTTTTTTTTTTTTTTTTTTGCCTTTTTTGAGAGATTTTTTTGCCATAGAGCATATGTGCTCACCAGAGAGACAGATGCAGAAAGTGAGAAATCACCCCCCGGGGGGATGGCCACAGTCTAATCCTTTCTCCATTCTTCTCTTGGAATTTTGGGCATGCATGCACATGTACCCAGCGTGAGTTTTAAGTCACCAGGTCTGGGACTTGAACCACTGTCCACTACATGGCATTCCAGTCATGTAAGTATTTCGTTCCCCAAGGCAGTGTTTTTAAAAATGTTTTCCTTTGTACTAGCAGGTGGTAGCTGAATCCCACACGACTGACTGCAGTTCAAGTCTCAGACCCTCTGGTTTGAGAAATATGCTGGGCGAGTGTATGCCCACAATCTCTAGAGGAAAACAGAGACGAGATTATGGCTTGGTCATCTCTCCTGTTCCCTCCCACTACTCCCCTGCACTTGCCCTGCAGCGAACAAAACCCCATCTACTTAAAATAGATTTATCCTGAAAGGAGAATGGAGGAGAAGGGATGGCAGACTGACCGTCCCCCGGGATGTGATTTCTCATTTTTCCTTTGACTTCCTCTCCAGCAAGTGCATGCTCCTTATGGCAAAACCCCCAACAGAAACATTTTTGCACCGAAATAGACTTTTTTTTTTTTTTTTCTTTAAATAATTATTTGGGGCCAGCAGGTGGGGTGGTGGTCAAAAACTCTGGACTCCCACATGGCCATCTGCAGTTCAAGTCTCAGACCTGGTGGCTTGCTTTCTCACTTTCCCGCTTTCTCTTATTCTGTCCCTTTCTGGTCAAATTGAAAATAAATAAATAAATAAAGTTTAAATAAAATAATTCTTTAAAGAAAAATTATTGGGCTGGCAGATGGCGTGGTGGTTAAGACACAGGAATTCCCACAGGGCTGACCATGGTTTGAGTCCCAGACCTGGCAGCTTGCTTTCTCCCTCTCCTTCTCTCTCTTTTTCTAGCAAAACTTATGTGGAAAAATAAAATAAAATAAACAATTACTTTTAAAAATTATTTTATTTAACTTTATTTATTATTATTAGCTTCCAGTCTGATCAGAGAGACATAGAGCGAGGGAAAGTGAGAAAGCAAGCTACTAGATTCAGGACTTAAACTGCGGTCAGCCATGTGGGAGTCCAGTGCCTTTAACCACCATGCTACCTGCTGGCCCCATGCTTCATTTTCTTAAAAAATAATTATTTTTTTATTTAATCTAGTTTTTGTTTGTTTGTTTGTTTGTTTGTTTGTTTTTAATATAATACCTGCTGGTCCTAAGACTCACACTTTAATTCTACCTTGTCATGAATTTAGAAATCTCATCATATATTGGGACCAGCAGTTGGCGTAATGGCTATGTTGCTGGGCTCCCATGTAGTCGACTGTGGTTCGAGTCCCAGACCTGGTGGCACACCAGGCACGTGTGCATGCATGCCCAAGATCCTGAGAGGGGAACGGAGGAGAAGGGATTGTGGCGTGGCCAAACCCCCAGGGGATTATTTCTGTCTGTCTCTTTCTGGCGAGTGCACGCTCCCTATACCAAAAACCTCTCCCCCCAAAAAAGAAACCCCATCTTATATGTACTGGTATTGTCTGGTCACTGTTCACTGGGGTATGGTTAGCAAAATTTTAAACTTTGGTAGTTAACCTTTTCTGTTGCCTTCCCTATGGGTAGCCAGCTGTATTTTGTGATTCTCACTGAGGACTCTGGCAGGAAAGACAGGTCCACTGGGCTTTGCCTTCCCTGCCGGGAGCTGGTCCTTCTGTGAAGTTACCGTCAGCAGGGTTTGGTTTCTCCAGGGGGATGTTTCCCTTCCATAAGCCTTGGCTAGGGGATTGATGGTGAGATTCCCCATGTGAGGCTAGAGTTGGAATAGGCTGTAGGGGGGATAGGCTAGGGCTGTACCATTTTTTACTCTTGGATGGATTCTGTTAGAATTGCTCAAAGAAAAACAGTAACACTTTTTTTTTTCTTCTCTTTTCTTAGAAGACAAAAACACTAATGCATTTGAGAAAGCGGTAAAGTTTGGGGGCGGGGGAAAAGCAACTGCTTTCCTGATCTGCACCTTGGCTGGGTGCTAAGATGTCTGTGGACATGAATAGCCAGGGGTCTGACAGCAATGAAGAGGACTACGACCCAAATTGTGAGGAGGAAGAGGAGGAAGAGGACGAGGACCCTGGGGACATAGAGGACTATTATGTTGGAGTAGCCAGCGATGTGGAGCAGCAGGGGGCCGATGCCTTTGACCCTGAAGAGTACCAGTTCACCTGCTTGACCTACAAGGAGTCCGAGGGTGCCCTCAATGAGCACATGACCAGCTTAGCGTCTGTCCTAAAGGTGAGCAGTGTCGTTAATTCCAAGGGTAATCCCCCAGTTAAATCGTGGATGAGCTGTTAACTAATGTTTCCTCCAGACTGATTGGATGGCCTTGTAGCTTGAAGCCAGTTTAAGTGAATGTTGCATCATTTGGACATTTTGTTACATTTACTTTGCTTTCTAATACATGTATGTCTAAAGTCTTTAGGTTCCCAGGTTATTAAGAATTAGAAAGGAGGGGCGAGGTGGAGGCACGAAAGACAAGTCAGTGTACGTCGTAGCTGACCTGCACACTTTTCACTTGTTCCAGAAAGTGTGTGTTTTGAAATTTCCTGGGGTAGACATAATAACCATCAAAGTCACCCCCTTGTACACAACCACGCTTGAGTGACAGGTAAATGTCTTGTGCTGAGACCCCCCCATGGCATGTCCTGGGTTGTCAGTGTCTCTTCGTTCAAGAGCTCAGTTGTTTCAGCCCCTACTGACTGATGCCTAATGTCGAAAGAGGTTTTAGCAGTGACTCTGAAAGTGAGACTAAATTCTCATATCTTGTCTGTCATTGATTGGGTCAGTGCTAGTGTGGACATTTTAATGAATGTACAAGGCCCGTTACTTCAGCAGGGATCTCGTTTTTTAACACTTAAACTAGAATACCTCTGGATATCTCGCACCTCAGACCAGTTACTGTCTTCACTGTTGATGCTTTTTATGGTCAGACAGTTTCCCGGCATCTTTCCTTCTCAAACACTGACCGTCGCATGAGTGTGGGATTGTAACATTTTTCTCACTTTATCGTTTTTGCTGATTTTCCTTCATGAGTTGTTACTTGGATTTTGTTGTCTGATCAGTTGATATTCAAAAGGACACATTGGCATGATTTCAACCAAATATATTCTCTTTTCTTTTTTATTTGCTAAAGGGCATGTACAATAGCGAGGGAGAGAAGGTGAGAAAGCACCGCTCATGGGTGATGGTCATGCTATAATCCCTTCTCCATTTTCTCATTGGGACTTTGGGCAAGACCAGGTCTGGTGCTTGTACTCTGCAGTCTGCCATGTGGTATCCAGCCGCCTCAACCAGCATGCCACTGGCTGGCCTCCGAGTACATTTTCTTGTGGTATTTAAACAAAAATAAGTAAGTTGTGCCGTGCATGATTTCTAAAAAAATTGTTTGATCTACTAGTTTAGGGATCATTTTTTTTCCAGATGATCAGCATAGAAGTTTTTGCGTGTGCGCTCGCCAGACAGACAGACAGAAAGTGAAAAATCACCACCCGGGGGGATGGCGATGGCCACGCCGCAGTCCCTTCTCCTCCATTTTCCTCTCGGGCTCTTGTGCATGTATACATGCCTGGCATGAGTTTTAAGCCACCAGGTCCGGGACGTGAACCTAGGTCGACTACATGGGAGTCCAGCGACATAGCCATTATGTTAACTGCTGGTCCCGAGAATGATAACCTTATGTTTAAATTAAGCTTTGATAGCAAGTGGCTGAAAGCTGAAAGCCATAGCTGTTTCTTTCTTTCTTTATTTTTTACGTTTAGGTTTAAAAGTAATTGTAGACTTCCTCTCTTATGCTGAACAAGCAGAAAACTCTGAAGAGTGAGGACGCACATACCCTCTGGGTTTGGCATTCATATACCATGGCTATAGCAAAGTTGCTAGGACCCCCGCCTCCAAAGGGCATTTCCCTAGTAGAAAAGAGGCATGTCTGTTCCTCTCCATTTATACCTCTCCCTTGCTAGTCAATGAGTTTTCTTTTGCTTTACCTGCACTATCAAATTACAACGTTGGTATTTAAGATTAGGAGAGGAACCCAGCCTAGGTGGCACAGTTGGTAGCTTACCTGATTGTAGTTTATGAAGCCGTATGGCCGACCGCTGGTTCAGATGCCTGGCCAGGTTGACCTGAAACACATGCCAGGCCTGTGTATACTTGCCCAAGATCTTGGCAGGCTGGAGTACTAGTGAGATGGGATAGCAACATGATCCTCTCAAGGATGCTTCCCCCCACCTCTCTTCTTCCTTCTTCCTCCTTCCTCCTCCCTCTTTTTTTTTTTTAAACTTCCAGAGGGCACATGCACTCAACAGAGACAAACGAGACAGTGAAGGATACAGAAAAGGAGAAGGCGCCCTGCAGTGGGTTGCATGGTCATGCCACAGTTCCTTCTCTGTCATTTTTCCTTCCTGATGGGATTTTGAGCATGCACATACATATGCCTGGCATGTTTTTCAAGCTGCCAGGGCTGGGATTCTAACCGTAATCAGCCATATGGGATCTGACTCCCTTAGCTTGTAGGCCACAGAGCCTATCTCCTCACCATTTGTGTGCACTCATGGTCTATCTTGAATAAATGAATAAATAAAATTAGTAGGCTGGTTTCATGGCCTGGTGGTTTTAGCAGCTTAAATAATATGCCAGGCTTGTGCATGTGTGCCCAAATCCTGCTGGGGTAGAGAAATGAAGCAGAGGGATTACGGCATGACTGCCCTGTTGGGGTGCTCCCCCACCCCCTGTGGTCTTATGTGCCCTGTGGCAAATTTTAAAAATAAAATTAGAAAAGGACTCGTCAGGTGTGTGATATGCACAAAACACATTGGGACGCTCCCTGGTGTGCACTGGAAAGTCTCAGTGGGCCAGGTGCTCTGTGCCAACCTGTCTGCCAAGGGGCCCACAGTGCACCATTTCATTTTTTTTATTTTTCTAATTACAGATTCTTCCAAATATATGGTTTGGTGGTTATGGCTCTGGACTTCCACATGGCCAACTGTAGTTCAAGTCCCAGACCTGGAGGCTTAAAAATGACACTGGGTGTGTATGTACATGTATGCCCAAAATCCCAGGAGGTGAATGGAGGAGAAGGGATTGTGGCCTCACCACCTCCCCACAGGGTGATTGCTCACTGTTTCTGTCTCTTTCTGGTGAGCTCATATGCCCTTATTGCAAAAACCTGAAAAAAAAAAAAAAAAAAGAAAGTTTATGGAAAAGTATAATTAATGTATTAGCTTATTTTGGTATAAAAAATTCTTAAGTCTATTCATAGTGTTTTTTTTCTGTTTTTGTTTTTATTTTGTTTTTTTGAGACAGATTTTTACTATAGAGTATGTATACTCACTGGAGAGACAGACAGAAAGTGAGAAATCACTCCCCTGGAGGGGGATGGCTATGCTACAATCCCTTCTGTTCCTAGTCTCCTCTCAGGATTTTGAGCATGCACGTACATGGGCCTGGTGTGAGTTTAAGCCACCAGGTGTTCAGATAATGGCTAAACAGAAGCATTGTTTGGGAATGAGCTGTCATCCCACACAAGTGGAGTACGTGTGAGGGATGAGGGTATTGCCAAGTGAATTGTTGTGTTAGAGGAGGCGGGACTTCTGACGAATAGGTGTTTTTAGTGATCATGTATGAGTCTTCAAGAAAAAAATTCGACCTTTTCACTATGTTTTTGTATGAAACTTACACAAAGGTTATTGTTGTACAGATGAGCAGCCCTTCCTCATAATAACAGCATGTTCATTGCAGAGTGGGCAGTAGTTAGCCAAGAAGAATGTCCATTATCAGTGAGTCCCGCTCATGCTGTTCCCTGGAACTCCTGAGAGACGTGCTGACCAGGTGCTCGGAGAGCCCCAGCCTCCATGGAGCCCCAGACAGCCCAGGAAGGGTCATGGCTGCAGCCGGCTTCCATTGGTGGTGGGTCAGGGCATCTCCCTCCTGTGCACCTCACCGCACAGCATCGTGGTACTGGTGTGGGCAAATAAAGAATGATGTTCAAGGCCCTGCCAGTTGCTTCAGGAGGGAGGAGAAATAGTACGCTTAGGGCTAGATCTGGTCCAGGGGCCAGCAGGCTACCTGGGCTTCATGTTGAGACAGGAGGACTTTGAAGGTGGGGTAGAGGGCAGTGCAGGTTACACAAGTCAGATCCCACGGGGCCACAGGCGAGGGGATGGGAAGGTTACCTTCTGGGCTGGAGTGAGAGACTGAGTGGGCAGGTAAAGGGATAAGGTGGAGGACCATGAATGCAGCCTGGGGTGTCTTTGTTACTGTAGGAATGGAGTAGCTCTCCTAAACTTCAGCACAAGTGTGAAATAGAGAACTGTATTGTTCATTTTTCAAGCCTGGTGTTCCCTAGACAGAATTGGAGGAATAATCCAATTATGTTTTTATTACAGTTCTTGCTCTATGAAGTGTTTTATTAGCTGCAGTAGAGCTAGGAAAGTGTCTCCTAGAGCAGTACCCTGCCACCTTCCTGCTTGAATTTCTTTTAAAATCTATAGAGTATACTCTTTTTTTTTTTTTTTGAGAGGTTTTCGCTATAGGGCGCGTGCGCTCACCAGACAGAGAGAGACATAGAGACAAAAAGCGAGAAGTCACCCCCCAAGGGGGATGGTCACGCCGCAATCCCTTCTCCTCCATTCTCCTCTCGGGATCTTGGGCACGCACGCACATGCACCCAGTGTGAGTTCTAAGCCACCGGGTCCGGGACGCGAACTGTGGTCGACTACGTGGGAATCCAGCGACATAGCCATTACACTAACTGCTGGTTCCCTAGAGTATACTCTTCAACAAAATGTGGCTTGAAAATCTTAAGATTCTTCTTTTTCCCCTTTGGTGAGTCATGATGAGTTTTCAGGGTTCTGACTCTTATGTGCAGAAGTCTTTGTGATCCTAGATTCGAAACAACCTGGTTTCAAGCCTTGCCACTTGTAACACGATCCGTGCATGTCCTTAACACAAAATACCTTTTCTCAAGTGACACTGAATACTTGTATAAATCTGATGAAGACATTAATGATTAAATCCACATTTCTTATGCTAGCATAGCTGAATTTTAAGACCATTTTATTTTCATATATTTACATATTTATTAACAACCCAAGTAGTGGTTTGGGTTTTTGTTGTTGTTATTCATGGGACATCATGCCGGGCCTAGTAACACTGAGAGTGTGTGTGCTGACCAGCTGTCTCATTTCTGTTTTTGTGACCTGACGTCAGGGTTTTCCTGCCTGTATTTAAGGAGAATG